TGCCAATTAGAGGAGATGACTCACTTCCTTGATCATTTAATAGGGGTAAGTTGTCTCAATGCCTTAATGGGAACCTAGTATAAGTTAATGAAAAACATTTATGAGCCAATGAGTATAGAATGTTCTGATTAGTTGTAATGCAATCATATGAGTAAGAATGCAATCTTATGATCGCAATATTACTATCTTTCCCTTATATGGTGTCTTTCTCACTTTTTAGTGCAATATGCTTTTAATTGAGTATTTGAAATAAAGTATTTGAGTACAAGAACAATGCATTAGTTTAACATTTTAAATAAAGTTGAATATCTCCATAGTTGAAGCAATCAAATACTTGAAGCAATTGATTGATATAAAATGAGATGAAAATATATTCAATTTTTTATGATCCTAGAAAAAAAGCTTCTAGTAGATTGAAAATCTCAATGGACTATTTTTCTTGGTGTAACCAAAGTAAGCTACTTCATGTGTAGGTTACTAATGAACAACATGGGAAGCAATCATTGTTGGAGAAACACATCAAGTATAAATATATTTATATAAATAGGATTAAATTTTCAAAGAATTTTTTTGAAGAAGGGTCATTAAATAAATAGGTTTAGAAAATATTGGCATTTTCGAGTTTAATCTTTATCAACGAATTTTCTTGATATGAAATATGTGGGAAGAACTTCCAATTCTAAGTGTGTATGAATCAATGTTAGTAAGGTTGAATTTATTTTTCCTTGAACACTTTAATTATCAAGAAATACAAATTTACATGAGCCTTTCTAAATTATAAATCAAGAATATTGAGTTAGGACATAATTGTAATATTTTGCCACGACAAGCCATGAATTTGAAACTATATATCGATAGCATTTAGGTTACTAGAGCCATGAATTTAGTTGAGATAAGCTAAGACCTAAAAATCAGTTTTTATAGTATCTTTTGATAATACTGCTCATATAAGATACCATTAGAGAGTAAAGTAGGTCAAGAGAGCTGACGTGACTCAGTCGTTGTATATTAAATCACGTAAATATAAAATTTATAAAACTAGAAAATATGAATTTTCAAATATTTAAAAGTATTTCTAAATAAATATATTAATTATAATTCAATAAAACTTCCAAAAATAGCAATAATTTTTCAAGTCGATCATAGGGATGTAATATAATATCTGGTAACTATTCATAATTTTTCTTAATGAATACGATTTCTATGAATTTCATACTAGGAAATAAAAAGGAAATATATTTCAAATTCACGAAAAAAGGGAAATAAGGGTGCAGACGTCGGGATGATGTCAGTGCCTAGCGGATGAGAATTGGGTGAAAACAGAGTTCTACCAGACGATTCTTGCGTAAGCGATTACAGATGATTTAATTAATTAAATTAAGATCTGTAAAAGTTGGAAGAATCGTAATTGAACAAAGTATATTTTGGTAACTTAAAAACACAAAAATTATCACTAAATGAAGCGTAAAGTAAATTGAAAGTAGGAAAATAGAGTTCTGGCGTCACGACGGCGATGCGTCGGCGATACACTAGAATCCTGAGCGTTCGAGAGGATCGTCGTGTAGTGTCCACAGCCTCTAAGGCTCTCATTGGATAAAGACGACGTAGGCGATCTCTAGATCTTCTCGTGAAGTTTAGAGATCAATAAAGTGGGTTGTCGAATCATCTCCAACGGCTGTCACTCAGTGGAGCGGAAAAATGGCAACTTTGCGGCTCTCCAACGACTGTCACCCGACAGAGAGGAGCTAGATGGAGGTGGGGCATATGTCAGGGAGCTTCATCCTCAGGTCCACGCAGCAAGAGGAGGCTCTTCATCGCATTTGGTACGCTCTCAGGAGGTGGCGACTCATCTCCTAGCAGATCGTCCTCTTCTTGACGACGGCTTGTTCATCGATCAATCGGAGATGATTTACTCGATGGATTGCGATCCTTTTATCGTGAATCGTTTAGCAATTTTAGTAGCAATGCTCTGCAAATCATGTTGACGAGATTTTCGCCGATGATCCAGCGATTCTCATTGCTTCATCCTTCACTAGCGATCTACAGGAAAGTCGCGATAATCAAATAAAAATATATGAATTTTGACTCTAGGAGGATTCAAACCCTCGCTGGTCGCCCGCCTCTGAGGAAGGTGTGACGTGAGTTTAGTCCCACATTGGTTATGTACTGATTTTTTGGGCGAATATATAGTAATGTTAGCTTTATAAGCAAAGTCATTACTCTCGCGTGTACGACCACTCCTTGCCCCACAACCAGCTAGCCACCGGTGACGTGGAAAGGGAGTGGCGCACATGTGCCCCTATCGGTCCAAACCAAGCCGCTCAAGCCCCTGCTTGCAGCTACTCCTCGACTGCACTTCCGACCTGCTTGCGGGCCCGGCTGACTAACAGGTCCCCCTATTTTGTAATATTTTTATTTCTTATTCTTCATTTATCTCAAAAGTAAGATTGTAAAAATCGTATAAAATCACATAATTACCTAAAAATTCACGTTAATCAACTGAAAACCACAAATCATACTTTAATACAAATATAAGTCTATTTATCATGAGTTAAGGCTAAAACTATATTATTTACTAATTATTAACTCATGATAATGAAGACTTATCAAGAGCCATAGCATTATTACAGTACAACAATATTATTTCAAAATTTATCATTAGGGCCATTAAGGTCTATTTTAATTAGTTGTCTCTTTCTCATATCTTAAATTTGATGGAAATAAATTTTTTAATCTTAAGGAACATAAAAAGAGATGATAAATTATGTTTAAATCTGATGACCTTTTAGAGATGCTATTAAAAGCTAAGAGAACCTTTTCTAATGACAAACAAATGATTCAGAGGTGGATATGTGCTTAAATAGAAAATAAATCAATTTCACCGATAGAGAGTACAATACTGAACGAGTTAGAAAAGGCCAATTGAAGAATGATACAGCCTCCTCTTTTATTGTTATTTTCAAAATCTCACACCTTTAAATGTTTTATAATTTATTTTGACTCACTAGAAAAGTTCCATTATATTGAAGTACTTTCAAAAGATTATTCAATTGATCTAAAATAAAACTTGGGCTTAGGTTGAAATATTTTCTTTAATCTACTGACAATTTTTATGTTCATATTAATGGGGACATGTTTGACGGAAAATGTCATAACTCTTGAGAAATCTATAGATGGCATGAATTAGATCTTGAAGAGTCAAGCTCAGTTTTAGTCTTAAGTAAGTAATCATCATAATGATGATAATAACATACTCATGGATGACATAAATAATGTTGACTTGGCAAGCATTTTTAGTTTTAAACTTCAAATGAAACATTGACCACTAAACTAATGGATAGTATACATTGCCAAAAGAAAGCCTATTACATGATTGGAGATTAAATGAATGTCATAGGAATGATACATGCTACGTCACACATGACAAATGAGCCAGAACAGTATCTTATGACCAATATCTATCGCTACGCTTATTAGTTCAACAACAGCCAGAACAGACTCACCTCACAGGTGTTTATAATTTGGGTTTGCAGACAAAAGATCAACTTCTCTGTAAGCGTAATCATAGCCAAGACCGAATCGGGCAAGAGCCTTTAAGGATTGGGCATCGCAATTTGGGCTTTAGCTTCTCACAAACCAAAAATCGGCAAAAAAACCGAGGGACATGTATGTGATACCTGCGAGGACTATTGTCCACGTGCAAAAAAACCGAGGAACTTGTATGTAATACTTGCGACTACTATTGCCCACGTGGCGCTGGCAAATGCAATGTCTGAGGTGAACAGGTCTCATTGTGCCGTCTATCGGTTACAGTTAGCGTTAAGCTTCACTGGCGTCCGCCCTATTCTTGGGCATCCTATCTGCTCTCCAGCGTGCGGCCCCTGTGAATACAATGGTGCTCGTGAGAAAGTTTTCGAGTCCCGCTCATCTCCATCTTCTTCCTCTGGACATCATCTCACCATACCTCTCACTCGCTGTACATAGGCACGGATCAACGTTTTTCTGTCTACACTCTAACGGTGCCCAAGGTTGTTTTTGCATTCCTTCTAGCATGGCAGGGATTATCAACCCGAGTGATTATACCTCGAGGGCTCCGATGAATCGAGCTTGGTGCAGAGATTGCATCTGTTCTACGAGTGCCATTGCGCACATTTGAATTGTATTCCATTTCTCTGTTTACGCAGGTAGCGGAACGATGTCTAAAACGACGGTTGATTGTACGATCTACAAAGAAGAGAAGCGAAAAATATAGGAGAAGGGTTGTTCCTGGTACGATACAAGAGAGCAAGATGTGGAATCTACCTTATCATTTACCGGAAATGGTTTCTGCGAGGCCGGGAAGGGTCTACCATCGAGGGAAGGGAAGGAGAGAAAGGAAGGAAACCACCTGATTGGATAGCGAAATAAGACGCCCCACTGACTCCCTCAGTCCAAATCAAGAATTGATTTTTAATCTCTCTTCACCGGTCTCCTATTGGTCGTATATCTAATCGTACTATTGCACTCTGAAGGGCACCGCAAAGGTCAAGGTGGGAGGAAAAACCGATCCAAGCTCCAGAAGCGGCCGTCGTCTTTTAGGTTTATTTCCCCCCCCTTTCTCTCTCTCTCTCTCCCCCCCACTCTCCACTCCGTTCCCCTCTATCCTCCTCTCCACCCCTGTTTTCACTCAGAATTGGCTAGGATTGCTTTCTCTTGTCGAATGCAAAACCCACTTTGTCTTCCATCATCTTCACACCGTTTTTCAATATCGGGTAATCTTTGATTGAGGGGCTCGGACAGCATCTTACGCCACTTGAGCACAGATCTTCTGTTCCAAATTTGGCAAAGCCGCGAATTTTTAAACAAGATTCCAGAGATCCGGGCTTCCAAACGTATATTAGGATGTCCTTCTTCGTAAGATTCTATACCCTGTAGGGGATCATTCTTCCATTTTGTCGGGCACCGTTGGAGTAATCAGCGAACGATGTGGTGAGCGAGAGAAGCTGGAGGAGAGCGAAGGCATGGCGAGGGAGAAGATCAAGATTAGGAAGATAGACAACACGACCGCGAGGCAGGTTACCTTCTCAAAGCGGCGTAGGGGCCTTTTCAAGAAGGCGAAAGAGCTGGCCATACTCTGTGATGCCGAAGTGGGGGTGATCCTCTTATCCTCCAACGGCAAGCTCTTCGAATATTCCAGCAACAGGTGCAGATCCTTTCCTTTTAGGCCCTTTTCCAGCTCTCTCTGTGTCTGACACTCTCCTATTCGGTCTTGCTTTCTCCCTTTCCTGCCGCATCCTCATACGGCGGTCCATATCCCGTACGCGTGGGTGCAAGTGTTGTAGTTTATCGCATGCTGGTTGTGGAATCTTCCTCACTCCTCTCTCCATCCTTATCTTTCTCAGTCGGAGTCGTAGTTTTTTCTTTGCTTGTTGTGGTTTTCGTGACAATGGAAAACTAGGGCTCTCGAACGGTGTGGAAGAGAGGAGAAACACCGAGGAGAGTGGAAACCAGGGGACGCATAGAATGAGGAGGTTCTGAACGGTGTGCACGCTTGCATTAATTGGTTGATTGATAGATAGATAAAGATATGGATAGATAAGTCGCAAGAAAGAGAGAGGGAGAGAAGAGAGAGCAAGTAGGAGAGAGAGAGAGCTACGGAGAATAGCCGAACGAAGACGACCGAACCTAGAGCGTGGATGATGAGAACAGCGGTTTGCGTATACCTTAACTTTTATCCATAACTAACAGGTACGAGTAGGCTGTGGCTTTGTCCCATACAGGATGAAAACAGATTAGGCCACAACTTGCTGTTTCCTTGACAAGGTTTTAAGATATGGAACTGTGAGTGTACTTAAGTCGGCTAGTTTGTCTCACTAGTAGTGAACATTTTTCGTGTAATTTATCATTTGAACTCAGATTAACCTTAGCCTTTGTAACCCTTACCTCGGATGAAGTTTTTTCCGGTTCTAGGTGCATTATCTCGTTAATGAGTAACATAACCGTGATTACCTTTCTTTCTATTGGCAACGGAGTAGTGAGTTCTTCATAGGATGGCCACGTTATGAATTATTTCGGTTGCTTTTCTACGGCCAATCATGACCGATCCGTTTTGTTAGATGCTACTGTTCTATGCTTCCAAAAACTAGCCTTTTTCTTATAACTTTTTTTTTTTTTTTTTCTTATAACTTACATATTTCTCACTAATCATTTATGTTTAGATTATGGTAATTGAAACACGTTAAGATGAGGTACTAAACTATAGTCAGATGGGTCTACCTTTCATTGGGCTGGCCCTCGTGAATAGGTTCTTGGGGATTGTTCCCAATGAGTTTTCTTGTGCCTTCGTGTGTTAAATTTAATCCCCCGGTTGGGTTGGGTTCCATTCTTGTTCTACTGCTATTGTTCTTCAGTTATCACATGGGCTTGCATTTATGGAATTACACTAACACAATTTTCAGTGATCGTTAATGCGTAGGAAGGAGTTCATAATTGCAGATTAATGGCATTCAGTGTTCTTTAAGTTGCACTCAATTGGCTTCATACTATTGCTAATAAAGATATTGGTGAAAATTCGAACCCTAGTAATCATCAGTTCTTATTTCCGTAGGATTGATTGAAGAGAATAAAAAGATCAAAAGAATTCGAGCAAGGTTATTAGGACTTCTATGCTTGTCAAGGCCAGACATATTGTTTCATTTTTTGGCTTTCTATCGGGCATAAAAACTCAGAGGCATTAAGTGCTGTTGTTCCATGGCCTTGTTCTTCTACTATTTCTACCAGATGACAATGCCCACCTTCAGAACAAAGTTTTTTATTTTTCATTTGAAGTAAATTAGCCAGTTGAAAAATTGGTTAAATTGGCCTTGAATTGCAGAGCCCAACTGGAGTCATCAAGTCATATGAAAGAGAGAACGCAATTGTTAAGCATCCTGATCACTGATTGAGAATAGAATACAATCTACTAGTATTATTCTGATGGTTGATTAGATCATAGCACGGTATTGGCTATATATTTTTCGCCAAAGAGTGTGGAAACTTACGTTTCGGTGTTATTCTATGCTTAATAAGGGCAAGTTTTCTACACAATGAATAGCCAAATCTGATTATTTCCAGTCTTTTGAGAATATATCTGCTAAATACAATTTATGAGCTACATTTTATGTGCCATATTTTAGAAGAGAATATGGGCTTTAGTGAAGCTAAGTTTCTGCATGAGGTGTTTATGTTGGATTACTGAAGGACATGCCATAGTGTCATGAAAGCGAAAAAGTGTCATTCATATTTGCGACTTACTACAATTTCAAAGTGCTCATCATTGCATTCTTATTTAAAATGTCAAAGTGTGATAGCCTCAACAGCGAAGAACAGCTTTGAGGTGAGAGCTTGGAAGATAGGTAGTTTAATCAGTTACACTAATCAGTTTCTTGTAAATTTTCTTAGGATTTTGTGAAACAGCATAAGATGCAATGAAGGCCTTGACTATTGTATCCTTGCTCACATATTGTATTTCCTATTTTATTTGAAGTATGAAGGCAATAATCGAAAGACATAACAAGTATTCACGGGATGATGTGAAATCGGTGCGGCCATCTCATGATCACTGTGTAAGTCTTCATGCGCCATGCTTTTGTGAGTTTTCTGATGTAGCGAATGGTGTGTGGAATATTTTAGCCTTGAATCCACAAGGCAGGAATCTTGAACTCGGAATCCTGAATCCGTGGGACTTGGAATCTTCAATCCTTATATCCACAGTGATTAACTAGGGCGACCCTTGAATCTACACTCATCACGCATACTGTTTTATTTTGTTTTAGTCTGTCCATCCTTCCGTTCTGAATTTGCAAGTCACTGGTACCCATTTTTCTTGCCTTCATAGGTTAAAGGTAGCATCCGTGGATCACTAAGCAAGGACGTTTTGGAGTCAAGGTTACAGCTCAGGTATGCCTTTCCTATATGACTGAACGCAAGATGTCTGTGGGTTGCTCAAACCAGCTCTTCATCTAATTTTTAGGCAAATGAAAGGGGAAGATATTGGAGGACTAACACTGGAAGAGCTTCAGAACTTGGAGAAAGCACTTGAGATCGGACTGTGCCGAGTTCTCACGAGAAAGGTAGGTGTGTGATCTATTCCGGTAACTTTGAAGGTATCTACGGCAGATCTTATTTTACGGCGACTTCTACTTCCCAGGGTCAGCAAATGGTCGGAGAAATAAAGGAACTACAGCACAAGGTCAGTAAATAAATGCAATCTGCCTGTTAGTTTAGCATTTCTTCAATTTCTTCCTATTTGTGAGCAAATGTGAAACCTATGAATCGGATGTCGCATACCTGGATCTTCTATTAGTTATACTGTAGTTCCTGGCTTCTCAGATTTATACGCAGTCCTTCAGTCTCTTGGTCACCATTTCGTTCCTTAATGGAAGCCCTGACGCACAGCTGAACATAGGCCGTTTCCCATTCCTGGAAAGCAACTGGTCTCCTGCGCTGTAAAAGTAAAAGAGGGAGGAATCAGAGTCGGAAAATCGTTGGCAGTTCCCCCCCTGCCTTTTTACGTCTAACTAGAGGACGGAGCACTGCATGATCGATATAATATATGGCTAATTGGCCAGCATTTTCAATGTCTCACCAGCACACTGACATGATCGCAGGCCTATCATCTCTACATTCTAATCGTCTCTCTGGCGTGATCTCTCATGTTAGACCCACCTTTTCTTCAACCTTTTTGTAGAGGTACAGAGAGGCATTACCTGGTAAAGAACCGCATAATAACATGAAAGAGGTGTTAAACCTGACGTAAAAGCAGCAGTCACCTTTGTTGAAGTTAATGAAAGAGGCAGACATTGAACACCAACTTGAGTTTCAATGAGCACTGGAGGACGCCAGTAACGCTGGGATAGGTAGTAGGCACCAGAGCTTAGGCAAAATGCAGTGAAAGCCCGTCTTGAGTGCAGAGTAGAGGACACCAGCGTCTTACTAGTAGAGCACAGCATTCAGGCTAGATTGCCACACATAAGTTTTCATTGATGAAGCAGATAGTTACTTCATGGTCTGGAGTAATAGACATCACGGCAGTAAAAGGTGGCACTCGTGCTGTAGTAATATCCGCTGAAGTTAAACTTGAGCGTAGTATGTGGCAGCAGAGGACAGAGTAAAATAGTCTCGATAGCTCTTCTTGTCACCCTGGTTGTTTATCCTGAAGAAGACTCTCAAAGAATAGCAGACGGAGAATCTATTGGTCATGGGTATCTCGGAGTTGCTCTCACCGTGGCACTTTAGGTCGGTAGACGAGAGGAAGAGACGAATGACGTCTAGGACCTTGGGGACCACGGTTGGAATCTCCAGCCGTGGAATCGCGACCGTTGGCAACAGAGACGTTCTTGATGAGTAGCGACTGGGGGTTGTACCGCAGCGCTCGGAAAAAGCTGTCTATATTCTTCCTGTGGAAGAAGTCCCCAAGGAGAGGGAGAAGAAAGAAGATGAAGGCGAGAGGCCGCATCTGCATCGTGGAACTCCACATCTACAGATCAGTGCATTTGTGAGCTACTGCTGATGCCCGTTTTATTCTCCAAGTGTAAGAGGTTGAGAGTGGCCCACATGGCGGTGACAGAATTGACAGCGGCTTGACTAACCTACATGGTCCTGATGTAGGTGAAGAGACTCAAACCCTCAAAGAGGACTCACAAACGTAGTCTATTAGAACCGTATTCTTAAAGACTTCCAAAGAACAGTAATGGAAACTTTGGAGGCATTCTAGGACAACAGAAGTGGCGTTCGTCTGGTTTCTGATGATCTGAATTTCCTCAGTTATTGCACAACGACGTGGGTATCAACTGTGTACTTCTTCTTGGTTCAGATGCTCAAACAAAAGGTTCTTTCTGTCTGCTTTCTTCGCTGCAATAGCCAATGCTTTCTCCTCCTTGGATCCATTATGTTATGGTTTTATGCTTCGAACCTATTTACGTTCTTATGATGCCTTTTTGAACCAGACACATCAAGATTCAGGCAAATAACTTAACATGGCTTTCCTAACTGATTCATTTTGGTTTTCAAAGGGAGGGAAATTGGTGGAGGAGAATGCCCTTCTGAGAAAGGAGGTAATCGGCCGTCTTCTCATCTGTTTTCGCAGTCTTCCCATCCTAATCGATGCATGCAGAGCTCACCCATCATTTGCCGGTCAAAACAGATCGAGTCCTCAAGCGGCAGAAAACAGGCGGCAGATTCTGAGAGCGCCACATGTGAAGGTGGACAATCAAGTGAGTTGACAAAACACGGCTCAAACTCTGGGCCGCCACAGGATTGTAGCGATATTTCAGATACGACACTTAGACTCGGGTATGCTCCTAAGGAACCCAAATGCATTACCACTCTTTTTATTTTCCTTGGAAATTATTTTTTGAGCTTTTACTTACGAGTGTTTAACACTGAATATTGAACTCTTATGTAGTGACATAATTCTGGTAACAAGAGTATATATCAAACTAGTTTAATGGTAATCACAATCAGCTTTCTATTGTAATAATACTTTTTTCAATGGGTTTTGATTATTTATTCATTCATTATGTTTTCTCACTTGGAACTTATTATCCTCAGCCTTTGTATTGATTTTGAAGAATATTCTTTTTACCAAGTTCATTGCTTAACTTCCTAGTTTAATAAAATTTTCGATCGTCTCTATTGACTTACACTCTAGTCAATTACATCCTCTTAGGGGAGAAATACTTTGGATTAGCTTATTTGAATTAGAGCTTCAGTGATATAGTTTGAACTTATTACTTTCCATTATCATCTTATTGTCTCTTTATTTTTTCATTTTGTTCTAAACACTGCATCACTAGAGCTTTAGACTGAATATTTTTTCAGATGAGTGCTCAAGTAAACGAATACCTCATTTATTTATGGCTTTTATGAGGAGAGTGGCTTACATCTAATTTTAGAAAAATGTTGGCTATTCTTGTTACCTAATCAAGTTATTCCTGCTGTAATAAGCTTGAAGGTTTTTGATGAGTTTGTTTGACGTTTATGTCTATTATTCTTTTTCTTGTCATGAGTGCTAGTCTTATCGATGTTGAAGTATTATTATTACTGAAATAATTATCTACCCTCAAGATGTTCAGGCAATCAAGAAGATAAAGCAGAAACATAAATATAAGTCACAACATGCAAGTAAATCAGGCCAGTCCACCACTGATCATACCCCATTAGAAATGGACTGGGCTTTATAATGAGGGACTGACATTGTTCAATTCATTTAGTTAGGCTAAACATGCTGAGGCTCCATTTGGTTTATTGTCATTCATGTTGTGGGCCTTGAAATGGCCGGGTGAGATAGTTCCACCCATCAGAACAGTCCCAAACTTTTGGACTCGGTTGGATCCACGAACCTTGAAATGCTGAGTTTTCCAAAGTGTGAATTCACCTGCAAACAGGTTATAGGCTTTACTTTGTTGGTTGGATTAGCCAACCATCCCTTCACTGGCATTTAGAGGCCCTCAGTGCTCGATCTTTGGACCAAACAATGGATTTGTCTTAGCTCAGCTGATGGACGACCAGCCCTGATTCTAGTTTGTTTGGTGTTGTCTTGTTTTATCGGCATTTTGTCATGTACAGTCTGAGTAAACTTGATACTTCGTTGTGCCTTTCTATGAACTCTCATTGTCATTGGTCAAATAGTTCATGTTTTTTTGAGTGTAGATCATAAATCTTTATGCTGATTCTGATTTGATGCCGTCATTTTTACTCTGGTCATAGCTTTCATAATCCTCATGACGTTCTCTCCTTTGACTGCACTTTTCATTACTTCGTGGTCTCTTCCTCACTCTCTAAGAAAATTTCAGCCGATCATTGTGTTAACTATGCTTTTACTAGCCTTGAGACTGAAGATATGATGCGGAAAGCATCGACAGTAGCCGTTAAATAGGGTGTCATAAACATAGAGGAAGTCACTTGATGATGCATTCCATTGGTATCGACTTTGACTATAGGAATTACAGTAATCAGGGAAGGAGGGAAAGAGAGTCAAGTCTAGAAACATGGGCTGTTGGGGACATCTGGAGAGGAGCTTGATAAAGAGCTTTCTCTACGTATGATAGGAATCTATGTGGTGAGGAAAAAAAATTTTGTGCAGGGAAGTAATGATTCGGGACAGAGGTTTTAGTTGAATGAGAATTTCCTTGCAAATCAACTAGAATGGAGAAAACACCGCCCAAACTTTAAAGGAGATCCATAATAAACTCCCGTCCTACAAACCCAGTGAGAAAAACTGATTAGGTACTTTGCTCGCGTTACTAATGTGGGTTTATGGTTTCGCTTTTCTCATACAGGTTACCTTTCTAGGACGTAAGAGGTCTCTTTCATGCTGCCTGAACTTGGTCGAGAAATAATGCAGCATGAACGAGAATGAGAACTTCAATTTGGCCAGATAGTTCCCTCGGGAACAGCTTGAGGACGAACTCACCATGATATGTGGTCAACGTACATTCCTTCCCTCACTCCAACCTTATTCTATGTGTCTTGACTCATGTAAAAATTACTACGGAAATGATGCCTTCACGAGAACCAACTACTCTCTTGGCTACTCTCTTGGCTGTGCATGACTTGTTGGGGTCATTCCACTGTGAGAGCCTTTGTAAGCAAAAACTAAGTTCTCACGTGGGCAGGTTAGAAACAGCAAAGCTTAGAAGCTGAAGATGACCATTATTGTATCTTCACGCTCATCAACTAGTTTATGGGATATCGACGTCAAATAAAACTCGTCTGTCACCAACACTGGGCTTGTTTATTCTCTGGTAAGATTTGAGTTGAAGACTAGGAGGAACTATATTCTATCTGATTATATAAAATCTTGAACGTCTGAAAGTCATAAACGAAGTCTGAATTTGAAGAAGAATAAACCTGTGGAACACCATCTAAATCAATCCATTTTGCTAGTTATCTCTGGTCGTAGCAAACATGTTTAAGTTTTTAGTAATGTTTTCTGACACGAGGTGATGTTGGGGTTTATATCTCCGGTTAGCGACTTCGGTAGTACGAATCGAGGAAGAGAGCCTGTATGCAGGAGACATCGTCTGGTGGCCCTAAGCCTCGCACGAACCAAAAATCCGCACGAGAGCCGAGGGACATGCATATGATATTCGCAAATATTGTTCGCCACCGGGCGCGGTCAAATGAAAGGCTGGGCTTTAGAGCCCTCGTGGCATCATCAATTGGATTGCAGATGGCGTCAGACCTATTTTTGGGGCATCCCACCCGCCATTTAGTATGCCGCCCATGTGCGGAATACAACGGCGCTCGAGAGAAAGTTTTCGACTCCCGTACAAGTACTTTTTCTTCCTCTAGACGTCATGTCACCATCTCTCACTCGCTGTACGTACGCATGGTTCAACGTTTTTCTGTCTACAAAAGTGACAACGTGCAAGGTTGGTTTTTCATTTCTTGCAGCAGGGCAGGGATATCGACTCCATTGATGATGCCTCTAGCGGTCTTATGAATCGAGTTTGGTGCGGAGATTGCATCTGTTCTACGAGTGAGTGCCATTGCGTACATTTGAATTGCGTTTCATTTCACTGTTTACGCGGGTAGCGGAATGATGTCTAGAGCGACGGTGGATTGCACGAACTACGAAGAAGATAAGGGAAACAGATGCGATAAGCTTGACATTTACTCGAAATAGCTTTTGAGAGGCCGGAAAGAGCGTACCATCGAGATGACGGAAGGAGAGGAAGGAAACCGCCTGATTGGATATCGAAATGTGATGCCTCTGTGGCTCCCTCAGATCTCCCTCAGTCCAAATCAAGAATCGATTTTCCTGCTGAAAATCTTTCGCTGGTCTCCTATCAGTCTTATATCTGCTGTTGTCTTAAGAGCAGGAAGGAGTGAAGCTGGTGGGACGAAAAACCGACCCGAGCTCCAGAAACGGGCATCGTCTCTTAGGTTTATTTCCTCTCTCTCTCTCTCTCTCTATCTCTCTCCACCCTTGTTTTCCCTCAGAATTGGCAAGGATTGCTTTCTCTTGTCGAATGCAAAACCCACCTTGTCTTCCATCATCTTCCCACCTTTTTCCCATATAGGTTAATCTCCGATTAAAGGGCTCGTACAGCATCTTACGCCACTTGGGCACTCGTTAGCTGTTCCAAAGTTGGCAAGCCACTCCTTTTTTAATAAACAAGGCAAAGATTCCAGAGATCGGAGCTTCCATGCTCATAACAACATGTTCTTCTTCGTGAAGTTCTATTCCCTTTAGGAGGATCGTCCTTCCATTTTCTGGGGACTGTTGGATCTATCAGCGAGAGACGTGGTGAGGCAAAAAAAGTTGGAGGAGAGAGATGGAAGGCATGGCGAGGAAGAAGATCAAGAGTAGGAAGTTAGATAACACGACCGCGAGGCAGGTGA